GGACAAACTATTTGCACAGGGCAGCAAATGGTTGGGACAGGGATTTTCATTTATGATTTCCCTCATCCCAACACTGAGAATCTGATCTCAGCCACACTGTGGCTATATGAAGGCTGTAAACCCACCTACAGGAGGGAAATTGACATACCATATCTAGTTCGTAATGAAAAGACGCAAAATCAAACACTTGACTTACTTAGAAACAAGCAAAACTAAACAGACCATCTCGTAAACACACATTTATCAATCAACTCAATGAGTGTAAATCATTTATGAATTAACTATGAGAACTGAGTGTAGATCGTAAACTTGCCTGGAGTTTACCACTGCATCTATATTATTATTTTGTTTGGTACCGTTGTGAGTGATTTTTGAAGCTCATCCATACACTGTAATTGGCAATAGACTTGTTTTTTGTAACAGAATAAAATCACATCAATTGTAACAAATACAGATAGAGTAAATCGGGATTCCTTATTTCCACTGTTGGTGATACAGTGACTAGAGCACACAAGTTTGTTACTAAAGGAGTAAAAGCGCTTTGGGACGTCCTCCCGACATAAAAGGAGCTTATACACACGTAATTTGTTGTTGTCGAGTAAAAGGAGATATTAGGTGACATTTGTGTTTTTTTAGACAGAGGGTGTAGATGTAGAATTCCTGCCAGGAACAGTGACTGAGGCAGGATCCATATTAGCTTTCAAGAGGGAACCAGGTACATGTATACAAATGAGTAATTTCACAGGTATGGGGAAAATGCAGGTAAAATGGGGCTGATTGGATTGGTCTTTCAAAGAGCCATCGCCGATGTGATGAACCACATGGAATTTCTTCCCCTAAATTCTATGATTCTAATAATACAGTGGATCTTCTCTATATTAGAGGTTTATTCAAGAGCACACGTAGCATGAGTGGCGACCTGGTTCAAGAGTACACGTAGCATGAGTGGCGACGTATCTGATCACCTATTGGGAGCACATCACACAAAATTACTCATGGCTCCACAAAACGCATTTCATGCTCCAAATCCAGTTGTTGCAATGGGTACATTATGAAGCAAAACAACAGGATTTGAAGTTCAACAACAAATTCGGATTGTGCAATATTAGGATTTTGAATTTTTTTAGTTAAGAAAATGTTGGGGTCCACAAGGGTTATAAGCAAACCCATGTTATAACAGGGTTCCACTGTACAGTATCCATCAGTTTTAAACTTAGCCATATGTTATACAAAAACAATTCAAAAGCAAATTAACTCATTCAATAACATTGTACATTGTTAAGCTAATTGAATGCCAATATTGACATTACTTAATACTGTTTGACATACAAAATCAATTGTGGTTAACACGAAAAAGCACATTGTACACTTTTTACAGGGTTTTTACAATGACTCGTAAGGTGGCGCACTTCATCATTCAAGCCAATGACATGAACTGTACAGCGCCTTGGGACGTCCTCCCGACGTGAAAGGCGCTCTATAAATGGAATCTTGTTGTTGTTGTTGTTGTTCTAACTCAGCTTGCATGAATGTTCTCATGTACTGGATTCAAGGTCTGAGTTTGAGATATTATCCGAAGGAAATTCTATCACTGTATGTTATTTTGAACTCTATGCTCGCGTTCAATGCAAAATAAAACAGCTAGGATTACCTGTGAAAATAAAGTACTTTTTTTAGGCCAAAACTTTAATTTCCCGTTTTGAGATCAAACTTCCATTCATCTACCACACAAGAATCAATTAAGAATCATTCTTAGATTTAGAGATATAAGCACTAAATACAAATGTAATTTGCTGACCAATTGCAACGTGGTGTCTAATTTTATGGATCCAAAACATAGCATTATAACAGGGTCACCCTGTATTTGTGAAAGCACTTGGGAGTCTTTGATGTTTTTGGTGCTATATCAAATGCAAAGATTATATTATTTATTTATGGTCATTTGTTGGACTTTGCAGCAAGCAAATTTAGTGCCTTGTTTGTTTGTCCACACAAATAGACTGTTAGAACACAGATAATACTTTCAATGCCAAAGTAATCCTTCCAACGGATCAACAAAACAAAAAAGTAATTTCTGGAATTGTATAGGATAACCAACATCAAGAAGAAAAGTCATTTTGGACGCACTTATCATGAAAAGTCTATTTCATCTCTATTCAACTAATACTGTCATTTCTCACCTTGAACAACTCTAAACTATGTGTAGGAGATTTCCAGAATATCATATTCAGCCACTCCCCAACACACCCCGTTGTGAAAGGATGACTTCCAGATTAAAAGTTTTAAACTAGTAACTCAGCACCAAGTCAGAACTTGAGGTCAAAACTATCTATACAACAGGAGTAGTCCCCCCAGATTCCAGAGAATCCAAGATGTAGAAGCACATAGAGATTAGGATAAAAATTAAAAGCATTACAGATGATACATTGACCTGGTTCGGAGTTTAGTTTGTTGGAGGAACTGAATCAATATTTTGCAGGTCACTCTGGCGTAATGCAGAACACCCCAAATATATGGGAGTACCACATAAGTAAGCAGAGCTCTACAGTCTCCACCAAGAGAAAGCTGAAAAACTGCGATAGTTGTGACTTAGGAAAGCTCTATTATACTATAACTAGGGCAGAGCAGAGTTCAAACGACGTGGTGTCTCAAACTTTGTAAACAACTCAATAATTGGGTAAGCCATGTTTGGAATGCATAACCCATCACCTTAGAGTGCAATGTCTTCACAAGTGGGTAGACCAAAGAGTCAACTACTGTTCTATCCACAACAGCTAACTATTGAGGCCAGGATGTGGGAGGCCAACCTGAAATGTAACTAGACTTAAGGTTTGGAATGCCTGCAACTATCATCGTAAATAACGTAAATATTAAATTCCATTGAAACAATATGTGGGATTGGTTTCTGAACCCACCGGAATTTTGAGCCACAACAGTTTTTATGAATAATGTTTCATTAAATGCTACAAAACATGCTGCACCAATCAAGATTTACAAGTAGTATATTTACCAAGGAAATGCTTTGGTCGAAATGCACAATAGCATTTGCTGTTGCTGGGTTGAGGATCCGTCTGGTGGTAGGAAGAATATTCCATCAGATCCATTTAAATGTCCACTTACAAAAAAAATAGGATTGTGCTCACGAAAGCACTGAAAAACTAATTCTATGGATTGAGATATTGTAACCTAGAGTGGAAGCAACTGGAATAAATCAGATTTATAGAAACAGCTTGGCTGATGAGCTGAGATCAACAAATAGTCATTCATTAATTGGAGGTAAAGTCTTGAACTTTCTGTGCTATGGATCAGGAAGAATGCATCATCTCGATCCACAGTGATTCAGCTTGCCAGTTTCTACGGACGTCTGCTTAAACAACAAGGTGTTTTAAGAGTTTTCCTTTCACATGAGTTTATTCAATTGGATCAATTGCCAAATGCCATGATCTTTTGTGATTTCACTGAATAAATGCATACCGAATCAAAGAGTAATTGTAACTCAGTACTGGCCAAACTGTGGCTCACGGGGCCTTCGAGAAACAGCCCCCCAGAACATTTGCTCTAGTCTAGGTAAGACCGTGTTCAATCGGCAGTGTGTTTCCAGATTTTTCTTGATTGAATATTTATGGCATAAATCAAGATGCAGTCCTGCCGTTATCTCTCCTTCCCCTCAAAAGGATAGTCAAGTAGTGGGTCGTTCGACATCTGACAAGCGCAGATTTGAGCGCTCACTAGGTGGATGGTAGGTACAAGGAACTCCCTGTGAGCTTCCCAGTGACCAACACAACTCAGCATGAAATGGGTGAGAGCACGGCCACCGTCTTCCTGTCCGCAGCTCGGGCACACATCCCTTCCCATTGAGCCATGGTTCCACCAGTTGGAGGACCTTTATCATGTAAATACCACAGACCCCAATGCCTCATTGTCTCAGTCCATCACTTTACCAAGTTTGGATAGAGCATAGAGCAATAGCTAAAGTTGAGTAAGGCGAAGGCAGTTTATTTAGACACAAGTTATTAAATAATTCAATACGCTCCAATGTACATACAGTGAAGAAAGGCTTAAAACAAACTAACTGAAATCAGACAAATATAACAGTTCATATGTCAAACCATATTTAGCTACAATAAATCAATTTCTTGTTGCTTGTCGCATCAGTTTCTTTAGATCAGGCAACACTATATCATCTGCTCAACATACATATTTTGCCCACAAAGTATACAGTCAATTCATTTTACAGTATATCCTGAAAAGTGCTTTGAGACGTCTCGATTATTATTATTATTATATTCCTTTAATAACGGAATTAGTAGTTTCCAACTGGAGGGGCAGAAAAAAGAAAAAAAACTCAGCTCAATACAGGAAATCTGAGAAGTGATTTGGCAGAAGCTACATCCACATCTATTTCTAAAGCCGTCAATCAAATTAAATTAGGAAAACAAATAACATGGTTTACTTCATTTTAGTAAACACCCCAGCTTCCAAGCTGTCAGTAATGGCAATGTATCTGTCACTGTTGTTTAGCTTTTGTCTGTGCACTCTGGTTAATGAAAGCTATTGTATAATTCACTCCACAGCATGACTAAAAAGGGACTCTCCTCCAGGGGGTGGGGGGCTGGAGTGGGGAAGAGTGGGAGAGAAGGGAGGTAAGTGGGACTGCTCGGGGATGAGCTGGAGCCAAGGTAACGTGCTTGGCAATGCAGTGTTGAAAATTATTCAATCTCTGGTGGTCTTGTTTGTCTAGTTCCAAAGCCAGGCAGGTCTGCAGTACTCAACAGAAATGTCCCACAAACAGCCATGAAATGAATGACCAATTTTATCTGGAGGATTGTTAGCCAGGATGTCGGGAGAAATTCCCTTCTCTTTTCAAATAGCACCATGGGATATTTAACGTCCACCTGGAGAGACAGGCGGTATTTGTTCGCCTACAAATACTTAGTCACTCCCACCTCACAATTTCAAAATTAAATAATTAATTCACATTCAGGTACAAAAAAATTCACCTGATCAATGTAAAACGCGGTTCCTTCCCGAATCTCTCTCCGCTGCTTGAGGTCTGTCTCGGTCGTATCTCTCGATAGTGCCATGTACTCTACTTCTCGCCTTGTCAGTTCCTGTGGGAGATCAGAAGAGAGGTACAGATAAAGAAGGTCAATCAGCCCATTTGATCTTATCCTTACAGAACACCCATCCTATTTTCTTTCCATTACAACATCAAACCGTTTTTTAATTAACTAAAACTTCCTGGCCTTAACCACGCACTTCCTGGCAACGCGTTTCAACTCTTAATTACTTTCTGTGTAAAGAAATATTTCCTGGTATCTGACCAAAAGCTTGCTCTTCATAACCTTAACTTGTGTCATGAACCCTACTCTTCTACCTGCCCCCTTTGCTTAGCTGGCTCCAGCCTCCTGCACGTCCTTCATTTCTCTGCTAAGCACAAGTTGTTGTTGCATTGTTGGAGCTGCTGTCGTTCAGATGAGACGTTAAACCCAGGTGGAAATGCCTGTTCAATTATTATCACTATTCTTGACCTAATCAAGCTTTTTTTTTACAGATCTCTAAAAACAGTGTGACTTCAATTCCAACTGAAATGAACATTTTAAACAAATTCTTATTTTCTTTTTGAAGCCCTAGTACTATGTCTTGACTAAGAAAGTACTTATACAATTTGCGCACTGGCCCCAGCTAACTACAAAAAAGCTGCTCCACCACAGCAACAGAAGGAAAACGGCCCTCCACTTATCCTGTATTCCTGTAGGTCTTGGCATGAGCTCAGCAGCTCTCTGATAAAGTAAATTACCACATGGTTAATCAAAAGCCTAAACAACCACGTCTGCCCACTCCACGGTGCCTCGTGCAATATTAATTCTAATAATTTATTTATGTATCAGTGCGGCAAATGTAATGCCATTGCGATTTCTCAGCAGTCAGATAAAACGTAGGGCAATTCTCCTTTCAAAATATTCGTTCATCAATTTGGTGGAGTGATGAAGAAAAACTCAGCAGAAACATTACAAGTGGATCAATATCAAGTGTGCAATGAAAGCATTGCACAAAATATACAATCAATTCACTTGACAGTATATTGGGTAAAGCACTTTGAGATGTCTCGAAGACATGATAAGGCGCTATATCAAATGCAAGGTTTATTATTATTAAAGCAAGAAACCAAACTGGCCAAAATAAAATTTCTTTGTAGTGTGCATGTTTTTCTGATCGAAATGAACACCAATTTGGCAGCTCATTGTCTTGAATACATTTCTGGGTAGAAGTTATCTTCTGTGATCTCAGATATTTGCTGACGAAGTATAAAAGATGTGTAGGCAAAGGGCCCAAAATTCCATTTTGTCTGTTTGAGAAAGTGCAAGATGGTGGAAAATTCTCAAATTCACTCTTAATTTGATGGTTAGTTTTTTTATATAAATAGAACTACAGAAAACTGCACATTCCACAATTCCCTCTCATAATCAAGACAAAGTAGACATAAAGGCTCAGACTAGGTAGAATTTTGGGAGCTTTGTCTGTCTGCACACATTACACAGAACTATTTACGATCATAGGTGCATTACAATTGTGTTACAATTGACTCAATCTGAAACTAAATCCTGGAGGTCTGACAGGCGAGAAGAGACAAATTCACAGCCTAATCGTGGAAAAATTGTTTTACACACCGGCACTGAACTGTAACTTTTCTTCTTCAAGTTTTGAAGAGTCGACTTGGGACAGATTTATACCAGGCAAGTTGATCAAAGAGATTTCTGGATTTCATATCTGGTTTGAGGTTTCCTTCTTGTAAACCTCTTTTAAATTGGTTCTTCAAATACTCCAGGAATGTCATTTCAGCACTCCTGAGTGGATCGGGAAGGTCTGAGAGAAGTCGAAGTGGAAATAAACATAACGTATATAGACCTCATGCAGCAGTATGTGCAACAACAACAACTTGCACCCTCCACACAGGGCAGCGTCTCAGAGTGCTTAACAGTGGCAGAGCCTGACTCCGCACCGGGGTGGGAGCGAGGTGACTGTAAGCACAATCGAAAAGATTTTCAGGCAGGACTTGAAAAAGGGGAGAGAGGGGGCAAGGTGTAGTGGTTGAGGGAGAGTGTTCCACAATTTCGGGGCACAGTGTCTGAAAGCACAACTTCCAATGGTGGCGCGGAAGGTGCGAGGGATGAGCAGGAGGCCGGTGCCAGTCGAGCGGAGGCCCTGGGCGGTTGCGGAGGTGGAGGAAGGCAGTACTGGTCAGGGTACAGGATATGCAGTGGAAAGACAGATGGGATCGAGCTAGACGCCTAGATTGAGCACTGGTTCGTTCGGTGAGCCTGAGGGAGAGCCCAGGGAGATTGAGGACTGCAGGATTGAAGTGTTGATGGGAGCTAAGGAGTATGGCTTCCATTTTGTCCACATTCAGCTGCAGGAAACTTGCACTCATCCAGGCCCTGATGTCTGCCAGACAAGCTGATAGAACATCAGAGCGGACCTGGAATCGATACTGGAGGAGGCAAAGTAGATTTATGTGTCATCCACATACATATGGCAGTATACCCGTGTCTGCGGATGATATCACCGAGAGGGAGCATATAGATGAGGAAAAGAAGAGAGCCAAGGATGAAGCCCTGGGGTACCCCACAGGTGATCGGGCAGGAGGAGAGACCATTTGCTGAGATGAAGTGGAGCGGTTGGTTAAGTAGGACTCGAACCATGCGAGTGCAGTCCCACCAAAGTGGATGAGAGAGGAGAGGCCATGGAGGAGGATGGTGTGATTGACTGTGTCAAATGCGGCAGAGAGATCCGGGAGGACGAGGAGGCAGAGGAAGCCCTGGTCACAGATAGAGAGAAGGTCATTTGTCTATCAAAAATAGACAAGTACAATGCATCCAAGGTGCTAAAGTATTGAGTCAAAAGGATTATGGAGGCACAAAGCCCTGCAGCAGCACCAGCAGAGAGTTGATGCAAAGAGATTCACACTAAAATTGAGCTCATGAGATTAGACACAGGTTTTAGTCTCTAAGAAGAAAAACACAAGCTAATTAGCATCCCTTTTTACGCAGCAATGATCTGCACTAAATTCTGATAACTTTTTAGAAGCAATTCTGATTCCATTTCTATAGCTACTAAAGGCATGAGAAACTTAATTTGCAAATATGTATTTACAACAATTCAGCTAATGGAATGTTTTGACAGAGAACAAAATATATTTTCAAAGAAGGTAGAAGGAAAGAAAGACTTTTGAAGACCAGAAATGGCAACAGAAGATGTTCATGTAACAAAAGGCATATAAAAAATAATCAATGTGCTTAATGTTAAATAAACATCATTCATTCTGTCAAAACAATAGTGCAACTGAACAAAAATAGACAATGATTCATTTCCGTTGCAAATTTCCACTATTTCCAAATTTCTAAAATTTTCACCGACCATAACAACAACAACAAAATTACATTGTATAGAGCCTTTCATGTTGGGAGGACATCCCAAGGCGCTGGACAGACAGACCCGAGCTGAGGGTTGGCGTGGGGGAGGGGGGAGGGTAGGGGGGAAGCAAGGAGATCGAAAGCACGATCGAAGAGGAGGGTATTGAGGTGGGTCTTGAAGGTGGCGAGGGAGGGGGCGAGGCGGAGGGACTGCGGGATGGAGTTCCAGAGGGTGGGTATAGAGTGGAGGAAGGCACACCAGCCGATAGTGGGGTGAGCAAGGCGGGGGACGTGAAGCAGGTCAGAGCCCACTGAGCAGAGGGAGCAAGCAGGGTGGTAGGGAGTTAGGAGGTCGTAGAGGTAGGGGGGAACAAGACAGTGGAGGGCTTTGAAGATGAGGACCAGGATCTTGAACTGTATCCTCTGTGTGATAGGAAGTCAGTGGAGTTGGGCAAGGATGGGGGTAATAGGGTGACGGAGCCTGGTGCGGGAGAGGGCATGGGCTGCAGGGTTCTGGACGATCTGCAGCCTGTGGAGGGAGGAGTTTAAGGATTGTATGATACTGGGTCTGTAAAATGCAAGCGCTGTAGTCGAGATTAAAAATGAGGATCTGAATAGTCCCAAGGCATCTGCAGATATTCAAGCTGCACAAGCGAAGAGTACTTCAAATATATCACTTTATGCTCATGAGGCTTGAACAGTCAGAATAATTCTAGCACAGAAGGTGGTCATTTGGCTCATTGTGCCCATGCTGTGCTGGACACTTCACTGAAGCTATCCACTCTTACCCCATTCCACAGCTCTTTACTCTGTAATACCAAAGCTCATGTCCGACTTTTGTGATTCCCACACTCTATGAATCAATCAACTTCAAGCTAGTCTTTATTTCCACTGGCAACTGTACCTAAACAATCAGATTGTAACTATTTAGTGCAACAGTGTTACACACAATAGTAAACTTTCTGTGTAAACAATAAAATAACTCACCAAATATTGCATAGCAATGGAGCGACGTAGCGGACCTGGGGGTCCTATGAGGAACACATCTTGGCCCAGCAGGTCTTTCTGCATGATCCATCGAAGATGCTGCGCTACTGCCTGAGGTACAGGATCTGATACTGAGGACAAAACAAATTGATCTCTTAGTCTGTGACACAGAGCTTTCCCATTTTCATCTCATTAGCTGAATACAGGACAGCGATTGAAATACTGAACAGGTAGGAGAGTTCCTTGAATAAATTCTTGGAGTTGTCCTTTATTAGATATCTCAGTTAATAGCACTCTTGCCTCTGAGTCAGAAGGTTGTGGATTCAAACCATTGGGTCTTTTGAGCTCACGTAGTCCTGGTTGACAGTCCAATGCAGTGTTGAGGGTGTGCTGCACAGTTGGAGGTGCTGCCCTTCAAATAAGATGTTAAACTGAGGTTCTGTCTGCCTATTCAGGTAGACCTTTAAGATCCCATGGCACTACTCAAATAGAAGAACATCTCTCAATGTCCTGGCCACCAATTCCTGGATAAAATTGTTCAATCGCTTCAGCAATGTTTGGGGGATATTGCTGTGCGCAAATTGGCTTCCATGGGTGCCTATAAGACATACAGTCACTACACTTCATAGTAAATCCTATGAAGCATTTTGGGACATCCTCATGACGTGAAAGCAGTTTTATGAAATGCATGTATTATTATTATAAATAATATTATCATAATATTATAATAAAAGTCATTGTGAATTTTGATTTGGTGTCTGTACCCTGATTAAGATTAATATTAAACACAAGGGTTATTATTATCATCATCATTATTATTATTATCTAGCAATTCAACACAGAACAATACAATGAAAAACATCTTGGATCTTAACTGTTCGGTCTTAACTCAGTTCTTTGTCAAATATTCTGCTAGTAACTATATTAAGAGTCACCCCAATACAACTATTATTTGTATCTCGCAAGCTTTGCCTTATAGTAAGCAGCTTAGACTCCTGGAGACCAAAGGAGGAGCAGTAATACCAAGAGAAGGACAACAGTGAGAAGTTGGCGGGTGTTCGTGCAGGTCTGGAGCACCTATGGTAGGACAGAATGATAAATTAATAACTGGTTGGGCCTTTATACCTGTGTGAAAATTAAACCAGGCTCCCAGTGTCAGCTTTTCTGGGTCACACTCACTAACAAAGGAGTCACTGTAAACTTTGATTCTGGGTCTTTGCTGTACCTTGACCAGGACAAACTATGTTCACAACATCGCAGCCAATTGTAATCTTTTAATATGTTACCAGATTAAAGGAAGTGCTTGGCAAGAGGGAAAAGGTAAGGCCAAGAAGAAATGTTAGCATGCACTGAGCAGGGATTTGTTTCTGTAATATATGCCGTCTAATCTTTTACAAAAGTCACATTCTTTAATGCCCTATACATCCCGGGAACATAATAGGAACAGAAAAGATGACAGAAAGAATCAATTCCAATCAACTACAGTTACAATTGTCACAAAACAATTATGTTAAAAACAAATCACCTCACAAAAAAACTTATAATTACAAAATTACAAAACATTGTTGAGCTATCTATCCAGCAACACAATGAGCAGTTAATAATGGATGATAGATGTTTATACATTTCTGACCAGAGGTACAGTCAAATTAGGACTATTTGTATTGTATCATCCATGGCCATCCATGGCCTTGCCCCCTCCTACCTCTCTGACCTGCTGACTCCCTACGCGCCTGCCCGCTCCCTCCGTTCATCGAGCTCCGGTCTGCTCCATGTCTCCTGCCTGACCCGCCCTACGATCGGTGGCCGGGCTTTCAGCCTCTCTGCCCCCACACTCTGGAACTCCATCCCACGGTCCCTTCGCATCGCTTCCTCCCTTGCCTCCTTCAAGGTCGGTACTCAAGACCTTTCTCTTTGACCGTGCCTTTGGTCTCCCTCCCACCTCTCTGCCTTCCCTCACCCCTACACCACCCCCCTCCCCCATGTTCGGGCCCCGACAGCTGACTGTTCAACCCTTTGGGACATCCTCCCGACGTGAAAGGCGCTCTATAAATGTCATTTTGTTGTTGTTGTTGGTGTATAGCATGAAGTGTTCAAAAACATTATTGTTTCAATTATCGGTGTATGAAACAACTGACACAAACTATATTGAATCTTATTTTAACAGTGTTTACTAAATAATGAACACATATTGTCAATAGGCTTTTCCCAATTACAAACTGACATCAGACACAAAAAAATTAGGAAAATCTTACAGTGCTTGTTTTTTTTGTCATTAAAAATACATAAGAGATACATTTGCACCAATTGAGGAAGTAGCTGTTCAACGAGAGAAATTCTGACAATAGCCCTGCAATTGCAATTGGATGAAATGCTACAATTATTAAATGGGATAAGGCTATTTTCCAAAAGTGATTTTTATGCAAAATTTTAGCCAGCAAATTAGTTCCCAGTTCAAAACCACATTCATTTTGTTTTGGTGAGTGGGGTTTTCTCCACTCACCCCCCCGCTAAACAGAATTGAATCAAGTCTGGCTCCACAAACCTCCCAGGCAACCCTCAACCCCCAAACCTGGGCCCCAAACCGTCAAGACAGTGTGGACCCGATTTCTTGCATCATGCAAAAACAACAACAACAACAAGAATACATTTGTATAGCGCCTTTCACGTCGGGAGGACGTCCCAAAGCGCTGGACAGAGTAAAGTATTTCAGACCCGAGCTGAGGTCAGGGGGGAGAAGGGAGGGGAGGGGAAGGAGGGTTGGCCGATGGCATAGTTGAAGAGGAGGATTTTGAGGCGGGACTTGAAGGAGGCTAAGGAGGGGGTGAGGCGGAGTGACTGGGGGATGGAATTCCAGAGGTTGAGGGCAGAGTGGCTGAAAGTTCTCCCGCCAATGGTGGGTGGGTCGGAGGAAGTGGAGCAGGTCAGAGCCGGCTGAGCAGAGGGAACAGGCGGGTTGGTAGGGGGTTAGGAAGTCGCAGAGTTAGGGTGGGGTGAGGCCATGGAGAGCTTTGTATGTGAGGACCAGGATTTTGAACTGGATCCTCTGAAGGATAGGGAGCCAATGGAGTCGGGCGAGAGTGGGGGAGATGGGGTCAGAGTTTGGTGCGGGAGAGGACATGGGCTGCAGAGTTCTGGATTATCTGCAGCCTGTGGAGGGAGGAGTTGGGAAGGCCGACAAGCAGGACGTTTGCATAGTTGAGCCTGGAGGTGATGAAGGCATGAACAAGAGTTTCAGCGGTCTGAGGGGTGAGGTAGTGACGGTGTCGGGCGATGTTACGGAGATGAGGGAAGGCAGAGCGGGTCATGGCTTGGATGTGGGGAAGAAAAGATACTGAGGGTTGAACAAGACACCTAGGTTCCTGACTGGTTTGGTGAGTTGTAGTGTGCAACCATGGAGGTTGGTGCTGCCAGAGGGATGGGTCCAGGGAAGGTTTTTTCTGGATGTGGGTGATCACAGCTGTTTTTAGGGAGGTGGGAACTGAACCTGTGGACAAGGAGAGGTTGATGACGTTGGACAGGAGAGGGGCCAGAAGGTGGAGCTGGGAGATGAGGAGAGAGGTGGGGATGGGATCGAGGGAGCAGGTGGTGGGTTTGAGTTTGCGGATAGTCGTGGTGAGGGAGAAGGGAGAGATAGGATTGAAAGAATATAGTTGGGGATGGGTGGGGGGTGGGTCATGAGGGAGAGGTGATGTGGGGGTGGGTGTGGATGGAGCAGAGGTGGCTGAATGTATCCCCTCGATTTTGGATTCGAGGAAGTCCAGCATCTCCTCACAGTTGGAGTTTGAGGAGAGGATGGGCAAGGCATGGGGTGGATGGAAGAGACAGTTTGTGGTGGAAAAGAGAAGCCTGGGGTTGTCCTTTGCCTCCAAGATAACCTTGGAGTAGAAGGAGGATTTGGCAGAGGCAAGAGCACAGCGGTACAACCTCAGGAGCAAATCAATCAATTCGTGGGCTGGGCAAGCCTGGGCTGATTTGAAACGATTTGTGGCCAGTTAGTTCTAACTCCATTCCAACTTTAAATGAAAGATGTTAAATATGTTCTGAATTACCTCCCCTCCCCCTCAAACTGAACAGCAACATCCATAGATGATGGAAAGTGCTGGGAGCCACTATCTTGAAGTCATGCTTAGCAAGCGTTGTAATAGCCACAGCCTGCTGGGATGGTGTCCCCGCAAATTATATTTGCATGGAGTCACCCCTTTATTTAAAAAAAATCCTTGCTGCAGGGATGTATGAAATACCAGCCGAAAACTATCAAATTTGACCCCAATTTTTCTTTTTAAAAAAAACACATCCTCCCAACGTGAAACGCGCTATTATAAGTGCTAATTACTGTTGCTGAATCTGACATGTTTAGGAAGGTGATGGGGTGAAATGTAAGTTAAAAATTACTATCGTGTTGTTCTGATGACCCTATGATGTGGCACATACAAACAACAGTCTAAGGATCAATCCCTGTTGAGAATTGTGTATGTGTGTCTGTGTCTCTCTGAGTGGATGTGGGGAGGGGCTAGCCTTGGGGATATTCCGTGAGGTACTGTTAAATTGAGTAATTCTCTTATCTACCAGCAGCACTAGTAGAATGCACAACTAGAAGATATAAAGGAGAAAAAATCATTCTAAAGCCCCTAAAAGACAGTAATTCTCAGTTTTTAATTAAGGATAGTTTGAATCTTAAAATATTAAATGAACAACAAATTAAATAATTGATTCATTGTTTTTACATCAAACCAGCTGGTACGGGCAATGGTGAAACACTGTGCTAAGCATCAATCATTCATTTAGATCTTCAATTGAAGACTTTATTCTTGTAATTACTTCTGCAAATATGGAAGTTGTAGCCTTTAATTTATTTTATGGTTAATTGACATTGGCATAAGATGCTGAATGCAATCAAAGCAAGCAGTTTTTCAGGCAGCATGAAATCCGTACACTAATGTGAATAATGCCAGGAGACATTGCAGCAGGAAGTAGACAGGTGGTTTAACTCAGTCAAGCAACTTTTTCAATAATCAAGTCTATTATTTAATTACAAAATAATCAGTGCTCAACCTGTGATAAATGGGATATAGCACAGAGGGCCAGAAGTGGTGCCAAGCATAAACCCGACAATCCAGAGATCAGCCATTGGATCGCTTAGGACTCTGTCAGTAAGATGCTGGACCCAACCAAGGTTTCCCTGTACGTCAGTAAATTACTGTGGCCTTCATGGACATTCCTCATCCTTGGGGTAACAGCTACAGTATAAAGTAGGAAAGTTTTATTATCAAATTGTCACTCTACAGTTAGTAGGAATTGGGATCAGCGCTAAATAATCTGACCTCACCTCAGGCAGAACAAATCCCCCACTATACCTGCAGCAATTCTCCATCTCAAGTTTTGGTGATGCTAAGTTTATTTTATTGGATTTTAATGATACATGAATATATGGCACGATACACAGTTTATACCAAGAATGGGAAAATACGTCACTATTAACCTCTGCTTCTTCCTACACTAATACATTAACACTGTATTTGCTCTAGATAAATATACATAATTATTCACATAAAGTTTCCCAAGTGGACAAACTATATAGATGTTTAATAATTATGGACAATTGCTAATATGAAAATAAATTAGCCCTAACTATGACCATTCAACACAGGCACAACTGTGATAGGAAGAGAGTTTTTAAAAAAATCAAGTACTTACTGTGCTTAAATGGGACAAGTTCAGGGTTTGTTGGCAGTTTCAACTTAAACTTCACATCACCAATGTTAACTGTATCACCTGCAAATAAAAGAGTAAATCTCTGACCTATATTTCACAACAAATCTGCCACTTAAACAACGACAAAGTCCACTGAAAAACAACGGACAGCTCTACAGCTATGACTCATAGTGGCAATGAATTATTAAAAAAACACACATGCATTTTTCTAATTCCTTAGCACTATGAAACATATCAAAGAAATGTCTCAGAGTAATTGCTGTCAAGTCTAAGTGACTGATTTTGTAGATATATGAAGAACAACAACTACTTTATTTATATAGCACCTTTCACGTGGCGTAGTGTCCCAGAGAATGTATTAATGTGAGCAAGGCATCAACACATTAATAAATTTGGAATACTAGTGGCTGGGAAAAACATCCTCCCTTTTCCAATTGTCATGAGATCTTTAACATCCACCTGAATAGGCCAGGACATTGATCCAACATCTAAACTGAAAGGTAACGTAGCATTCATCCAGTACTGCATGAATATCAGCAAAGCCTGGACTAGGAGCTCAAGACCAATGTGGGTCTGCAACCCACACATTTCTATCCCAGAAGCCAGTGTTCTCTCCCAGCTGAGTCAAAATGGTAGTATGACCACAGACTTTTTGAGGCTGCTTTTCATTGGATTTTACTTTTCTGAGATCTTTGTATCACACACAACCTTCAGACAAATCAGCCACAGCTACAATTAACATTCTCACACCACCAGAAGCAGACCGTGGGGACAGATATGGAGTACAACTGTTAACAAGAGCCGGCAGCCTGTGTTATATATGTAGTTTGTAAGATTAATTATTTTTTAAAAAGGAGAGCATTCCTATTTAGAGGAAATCGTACAAGGTACATTATTACAACTACTGCTATACCAAAGCACTCATGGAAATGTGTGTATCCCAAGAGGAATCACTGTATTTAGTCCTGATTGTGCTGATTTAGGTAGGGACTAGGGAGTCCCAGGGACTCCCGATGATCCAGCAATCTAAACTAAAGCATTCATGTGGAGGCAGGACTGGACTCAGCTATCATGGCCTCAACAGACAATTTACAGACACTCGAGCTGTGGCTTCATACATAAAGTACGGCCATGCACATTCTATAATAATAATAATCCTTGCATTTGATATAGCCCTTTTCACGTCGAGAGGACGTCCCAAAGCGCTTCACAGAACACACTGCAAAGTGAATTGACTGTATATTTGTGGGCGAACGCGGCAGCCAATTGCGCACAGCAATGTCCACAAACAAGAGGTCACTGAATAGCAATTAGGAGCGGGGACCCTGGCTGAACCTGCTCACAGGATTTCTTGTTTATAAAATTGTGTTTCAATTACAAAACCTACAACAAAACATTCAGCCTCACCCACAACATGAACATACAGAGCAGGACATAATATAGGGGGATAATTAGAATGCCTTAGTCAGTACATCAAATACTGCAGGTTGCATTTTCAAAGGTGATTCTGTGCGCATTTGCAACTTCACTGCCTTTTCTACAGTCATGGGCCAATAATGAGCAGAATTACTAAACGGACAACTCAGTGTTGATTATCCATCTCAGGATAAATCTAACCCCATCTTGGGTGTTCAGCCAGTAGTGTTGAGTGCTTTGCGACGTCCTCCCGACATGAAAGGCACTATATAATATAAATTTCATTGTTTTGCATTGTATAAATCAGCATTTGCCCAAATCTGCAGATCTCACCCATGTGAACCATAGCCAACAATATTTGAGAATTACAGTGCCAAAGTAAAAGATCAATCGATTTGAGGTGTAGCTGTAAACAGACATGAGAACTGGTGGTGCCAGTGCTGAAGGATGCACAAGCGAAAGGAAACATTCACCGCACCCTCAGGGCATGGCCTTCTTATACAGTGCTATGCAGTCAGGTTACGGGAAAGTTGTGGGTTCAAGACCCGCGTCCGGATTTTGAGCTCATAGTTTAGGCTGACACCAGCGCAGTGCTGCACTGTCAGAGCTGCCGTCCTTTAGATGAGATGTTAACTGATTAACTGTGGCCCTTCTCCCTCTTCAGGTGAACATTAAAGATCCTGTGACGCTATTCAAAAAGTGAAGGGAGTTTCTCCTGGCATCCTGGCTAACAATCCCCCAGATCAAATTCATCATTCACTTAACGGCTGTCTGTTGGGCATTGCTGTGCCAATTGCTGTGCCGGCCTACAAATACAGTTACTGCAGTTTACAGTACGTCCTGTGAAGTACTATGAGGTAATTGGAGGATGTGATAAGACACTGTATCAAAAGCAAGGATCATTATTACTAGAATCATAGAATCCTACAGGTGAGGAGGCCATTTGGCCCATTGTGCTGATGCTGGTTCTTTGTGTTGGATATAGCACCTTATCACATCTTCGGGACGTCTCAAAGCGCTTCACAGAATACGCTGTAAAGTGAATTGACCGCATAGTTTGTGGGCGAAACGCGGCGGCCAATTGCGTCCCACAAACAGTCGTGGATTGAAGTGACCAATTTTTTTAAAGGAATTATTACCCCCCGGAAACGCGATCCATCAAACCGACTAACAACCTACTTATTGCAAGCTGAGCAGCGGCGTGTGCGGAGCAAGGAAACTGGCCCAAGGTTTGGCCGTGCCCGGGAATCAAAGCCTGAAGCTCCTCGGTTGCGAGGCGAGCGCGAGTGCTCTAACCTGAGCCGCGGGACTTCTCTTTCTCCTCTTTCTTCTCTTTCCCCCGTGGGCTTTTTGCCATTTTTTTTCTCTCTCTTTTGCGGGAACTAACTGGCGATTTCCAAAAACCCTTTGGAGGGTTATGACAGATTCCGCTCCCTACCACCACGCTCTCCGGGCATCGCCAACGATAACTCTGGTGCCTCCCGTCGCCCAGGCAATTGCGTGTCCAGGGTACACTTTGGGTGTGCTGTAGCCTGGGCTGATGTGTGTGTGTGTGTGTATAGATATAGTGGAGTCCTGTAGCTCAGTGGTTAGAGCACTCGCTTTGCAAGTGAGAGACCTGAGTTCAATTCCAGGCAGAGGGCGAAACCTTGGGCAAGTTTCCTTACTCCACACAGAGCCTAATAATAATCCCTCCAAAACCAAAAACAATAATAAATTGGTCATTTTCAATCTACGACTGTTTGTGGGACATTGCTGTGCGCAATTGGCTGCCGCGTTCGCCCACAAATATACAGTCAATTCACTTTACGGTGTGTTCTGTGAAGCGCTTCGGGACGTCCTCCCGACGTGAAAAGCGCTATATCAAATGCAAGGATTATTATTATTATTATTATTATTATTATATATATATATTGCACAAGGGGACTATCACACGATGAAAAGAAATCAGCTGCAACCCCGCACCTGTCGCTGTGGATACCAGTTGCACCTGATAGACCCCCGAGAACCGAAAGCCGCCGCCGCCTCTGCCCGGGAACAGCGGCCCCACTATAATGCTCCTCATCCTGCGCAGCGCCGTGGCGGCCGAGCCGCCTGTGTGCAGCAGCTGCCGGACCTGCATGGCGGGCGGGCGGGCGGGCGGGCGGCAGCTCGCGCTGGGCAGGGCCGGGCAGGGCAGGGCAGGGCCTGGGAGCGGAAGGAACGCCGAGCGCCGCCGCCGCACACTCCGCCGATGGAACACGGCGCTGCGCCGGCGCATTGTGACGTGACGGCGCCCGCCACTGCAACCAATAGGGGAGGCGCTGGGACAGCGAAACCGGGGAACAGTGACGCAGCACAGAGCCCCGCCCACACGCGGCACAGAGCCCCGCCCACATACGGCACAGAGCCCCGCCCACATACAGCACAGAGCCCCGCCCACATACGGCACAGAGCCCCACACACATACGGCACAGAGCCCCACACACATACGGCACAGAGCCCCGCCCACAGCACAGAGCCCCGCCCATACACACAGCCCAGAGCCCCACACACACAGCACAGAGCCCCGCCCATACACACAGCACAGAGCCCCACACACACAGCACCAGCTACACACACACACACACTGACACACACACACACTGACAGCACAGCCCAGAGCCCCAGCTACACACACACTGACACACAGCACCAGCTACACACACACAGCACCAGCTCACACTGACACACAGCACCAGCTACACACACACAGCACAGCACCAGCTCACACTGACACACACAGCACCAGCTACACACACACACACACTGACACACACACACACTGACAGCACAGCCCAGCTCACACTGACACACACACACAGCACAGCCCCAGCTCACACTGACACACACACACACTGACACACAGCACCAGCTACACACACACACTGACACACAGCACCAGCTACACACACACAGCACCAGCTCACACTGACACACACACACAGCACCAGCTCACACTGACACACACAGCACCAGCTGCACACTGACACACACAAACAGCACAGCACCAGCTCACACTGACACACACAGCACCAGCTCACACTGACACACACAGCACCAGCTCACACTGACACACACACACAGCACAGCACCAGCTCACACTGACACACACAGCACCAGCTGCACACTGACACACACACAGCACCAGCTCACACTGACACACATACAGCACCAGCTCACACTGACACACACAGCACCAGCTGCACACTGACACACACACGGCACCAGCTACACACTGACACACACACACAGCACAGCACCAGCTCACACTGACACACACAGCACCAGCTCACACTGACACACACACACAGCACAGCACCAGCTCACACTGACATACACACAGCACCAGCTCACACTGACACACACAGCACCAGCTCACACTGACACACACACAGCACCAGCTCACACTGACACACACACACAGCACCAGCTCACACTGACACACACAGCACCAGCTCACACTGACATACACAGCACCAGCTCACACTGACATACACAGCACCAGCTACACACTGACACACACACACAGCACAGCACCAGCTCACACTGACACACATACAGCACCAGCTCACACTGACACACATACAGCACCAGCTCACACTAACACACACAGCACCAGCTCACACTGACACACAGCACCAGCTCACACTAACACACACAGCACCAGCTCACACTAACACACACAGCACCAGCTCGCTGACTACACGCAGGACACTGACACAGCACCAGCTACACCTCACACTGACTACAGGCAGAACACAGGACAGACTGGATACACTGACACAGCAGTACCTACACCTCACACTGAATACAGGACAGGGCACAGGGCAGACTGCACACTGACACAGCACTAGCTACAGCTCACACTGAATACAGGACAGGGCACAGACACACCGACACAGCACCAGCTACAGCTCACACTGACTACACACAGGACAGGGCACAGACACACCGACACAGCACTAGCTACAGCTCACACTGAATACAGGACAGGGCACAGACACACTGACACAGCACTAGCTACGTTCAAACTGACTAAACACAGGACAGGGCACAGGACACTCTGGACACACTGACACAGCACCAGCTACATGTCACACTGACCACAAGACAGGGCATAGGACAGACTGGGCACAGGGCCGACTGACTTTCAGACACAGGACAGACTGGCTACAGGATAGTGTGGCTACAGGACAGACTGGACATATGCAGGACACGGGATAAGCTGAGCTACAGGACAGTACTGGACACAGGACAGACTCGCTACAGGGTTGTGATGTTCTGGTATTAGGATTAAGTAGGCGATTGAGAATCATTTATATTTGTTCACAGATATGTGAAATAATTTATATTGCAATTATAATCTGATGAAAAACAGAACGATTCTTATAATATTCCATATATTGGTAAGTAGCCCCTGAGCCTTTTAATTTGTCAGTTAATTCAACCAACAAAACAAATAGAAATATATATCTTTTAAAAATAGTATTTTCAGTTAAAGGAAATATTTCTACTTCCCCAGGTCATATTTATTACACATCAGTACACATCAATACAATTTTTAATGGAGATCAGAGTATTATGGAAACTGGAGAACAGCCCATTAAAGTCCAGAAACTGATCCTATACTCTAGTTCTTTCTCTTGGAGCATGCTCCAATTTCTCTGTTTTAATAAACATCTCTCTGTTCATTAAAACAGAAATTGGAGCATTTTTCAAGAGAGAGAAGTAGAGTAACATGACTAGAGTGCAACAGAATGATATCAAGAAACTGGAGCAAGTTCCAAGGGATTTATTTATATTGTAGACAGGATGCTCGAACAGAGAGAAGTATAAAAATCTGAGCATATTGAATGAGAATGAAATGGACCTTTATTCTGATGCGTCAAATCAAATATAGATAATAATAAAACAAAAATGTATTTGGAAAGTAAGGGTTAAAGATCTAATAAACTAATGAAAAAGGCTCAGTGGGATAAATGACTTTCTCCTGTTCCTCAAATGTACGGATTATTATTACTTTGCTAAACTACAGCACAATACAAGTCAATGAATTAGAGAGACTGCAACATGGTCCACAATGGTGAAATACACAAACTATAGAAATGTTCTTCGTGAATGAAATGTAGAAAGTGCAGCATTGATCAAGAGATGAGTAGCAACAGTAGCACATGATTTTAATATTAAAATAAAGTTGCTAGACAATGGCAAGTTAAGTCTTGGATGTTGCCAACCTGTGCCTGATACTCTCCAGAATTAGGTTAGCAGGATGCAACCCTCCAGAGAGAGACTGTGCATTCTAACAAATATCTCGGGAATTTCCATGTATGCATAGGATGCATGGAACTCTTAGCTTGGTTTGGATACCCATAAGCATGATATTGGATTACTGCATGTATCTGACACACACCCAGTTGACAAAAAAGGTCCAATTCAGTGATGTGGGAGGATTAAAGCAAGTTCAAAGAGAGAACGTTTGAATCGAATAAGATTCAAAAGAAAAACTGAAACATGGTGGTGTAGTACACAGACTGACAAAGAGAATGGAATAAAGAAATTGTAAACAAAATTGTTAATAAACAAAGAGAATGAAATGGACAAAGTGCAGCAGGGTCTGAAACAAAACATGCTGTGACAACCGGGGGAAAAAACAAAGTAAGTATAGCAAGGGAGAAAGATGGATTGAATGTAAAACTTATTTATGATTTCAGAGAGTCAAGCATAGAAATATGAAAAAAGTCCTTGGGACTGATGGGGAAGAACACTGGAAGAGAACTGAACTGGAGCATGATCCAACACACCAAGAGAATTATAATATAATAATAATAATAATAATTTTGCATTTGATATAGCGCTTTTCACGTCTTCTCGGCATCTCAAGGCGCTTCACAGAATAGACTGTAAAGTGAATTGACCATATATTTGTGGGCGAAACGCGGCAGTCAATTGCGCACAGCAGTGTCCCACAATCAGTCGTGGATTGAAAATGACCAATTTATTATTGTTTTGTTTTGGAGGGAATATTATTAGGCGTGTGGAATAAGAAAACTTGCCCAAGGTTTCGCCTTGCCTGGAATTGAACCCAGTTGTCTCACTTGCGAGGTGAGTGCTCTAACCACTGAGCTACAGGACTCCACAATTGAATAGATACTGGAACATGATCCAGCAGTGACCAAAGCATCACTACAAGGAATCAAATTTTAAAAAATGGACCTTGACTGAAATAAAAAAAACAAGGGTTAGGTCCAACGGGCGAAGTAGAGAAACAGCAGCATTGTGCAAGAGAATAAAATGACAAAACAAGGCTGTACTCCAAGAGACTGAAGTGAAAATTTTGGAGCATGGTCAAAAGGAGTAAATAAAACAGAAGGGCCAAGAGCATGATGCTTGAAAACTAGGAATGTTCTAAGACAGTAAAACTTCATCATGGTCCTACAGAGTGGAATAAAAAATTGGAGGATTATCTAATAAAGTGAAAAATAAACTGCAGTCTGTTGATGGACCAAATGACCTGTTTCTGAACCCGTGATAGGGCATGGTTCCACGATAAAGCTGGAAAGCTGCAAAAGACAAAATAAATAACTTTAATTTTTATAGTGCCTTATCAAGTCAAAATGTCTCAAAAATAATATTTTTTTGCAAGATTGTCAATGGTCAGTGCAATGAAGAGAAAATAGAACAGTTTTGATCAGCCAGCTGACACCTGCAAGAGAAAACTCATCACTATGCTCAGAGAATCCAAAGCACACTGAGTGCTATATGTCTGCCACATAAGGATTAAAATTTCCCTGTGTCTGGAATGAAATGTGTGCTCTCTCCTTGGAAGGATGTACCAAGCTTAGATAATTCCGGAAAATATTAGGTACAGATTGGCCAGACCCAAGACTTGGGGGATCGAGAGTGCGGATTACCCGACTAAAACTGCATAACTTGCCATTGAAACCACTGTCTGTTAAGCTTTAAAGATGGACTTGATTCCATCATTTCATTGACAAGTTTGTCACCTTTGATCTAAATTATCCCAAAGAGACCCTGGTTACCTTTTCTCCCCCTCCCCCCACCCCTGATAGTTACAGGTTGGTAAACCTGCGTGACGGGCGC